TTCGGATGGCCTTGGATGCTGGAAAACCACTTTGGTCAATTCCAGTCGCCTTCGCTAGGTGGCGCACAACCTCCAGGTTGATTTTTCCCTATCAACCGAGCAGCCGATGATGGCAAACCAGCCTGCCTGCCTCACAGACAGAGCAAGCATCCAGAAGTTTCCACAGCCATCCCACAGTGGGCTTCATGTCTTGGAAACCAGGCTTCCTTTTTTGTTGTTGTTGAGATGGGGTCTATGTGGCTCAAGATGGCACTGATCTCACCGCATAGCCCAGGCTATCCTCCAACTCATGGCAACCACCCCCAAAGTGCTGAGATCACAGGCTTGTAGCTGGCACAAGGCTTGCATCTTAGCTAAGGCTGTCTTCAAACCTACAGTCATCCTCCTGAGAGCTGGGATTACAGGTGAGACCCACCACACCCAACTTCCCCCAGCTTTTGTTGTTGGTGCTGTTTTGAGACAATGTAACTGAGGCTGGCCTTAAACTCCCGTTGATCCCCTCAATGTAACGGAGGCTGGCCTTAAACTCCCGTTGATCCCCTCAATGTAACGGAGGCTGGCCTTAAACTCCCGTTGATCCCCTCAATGTAACGGAGGCTGGCCTTAAACTCCCGTTGATCCCCTCAATGTAACGGAGGCTGGCCTTAAACTCCCGTTGATCTCCTTTTGTCCCGTTTCTGAGACTGAACCCAGGACCTTGCAAGTGTCAAAGGAATCTATGACAAACCATTTTCACAGCCCTTGGCCTTGAACTCCTGATCTTCCTGTGTCTATTTCCCAAATTCCGGGATTACAGGTACGCCCCACACTCAGGTAGCCCCAGGGTTTCTGTTGTTGTTGTTTTTATTATTATGTGCGCATGACCGGTGAGTGGGATGGGGGTGCGCGCATCTGTGGAGGTGAAAGGCTAACTATAAAGTCAGTTCTCACTCCTTCCACCATGTGGGCACCAGGTGCCCGCCCACTGAACACAGGCTGACGCATGGGAACAGCAAGCCAAACACCCATATACACTAAAGCCACCCCCGGCTCTCAAAGACAATGAAACAACTCCAGTCCTCAGGCAGAGTTTGTCCTTCAAGCCCTTAGTGTCCAGGTCAGCACATAGTAGGGCTCGCAAAGGATGACCCAGATGGGCTTGCTCTGAGCCTACTGGGCTATCCGGTCTGAGATGTCTGTGTTCTTTGATTAGGAGTCACCAGAGAGGCCGCAGCAGGAGGCGGGGCCGGGCCTGAGCCCGAGGGGTCCCTTTGGCATCCCCCGGTGCTGGTGCTGTGACCTCTGTGTCACCCCAAGACCCTGGGCTTCCAAGACTCTGTGGAGTGACCTGGGCCTGAAAGTCAAGTTCTCACAGTTTCTAGAACGCCAGAGATACATCCAGGCACTGAAGGCCGAAGGCTGATAGCGTATCTCACCCTGATGTCCTCAGGCCATCAGGACACTTGGTCCCAACCCGT